AAAAGCATTTTAGTAATGGGTCATTTTCAAGGACACCTTACAGATATGACAACAATCACAAACAGCAAAATATCAAGATGTGTTCCCTGATGTGCTCCTCTGGGCCAATAGCAGCATAACTAAGAGCTGGTGCGAGACGGACCTGAGCCGTCTCTAACCATAAGCTTTGTCAAAAGTGAAGGCTCGTGTAGGGCATGGTTAGACAGAATAAACAAGGTGGGTTCTGAGGCAGGATTTGAAGGAGGGGGGAGAAATTCACAGTCACCGGTGGCTTGTGGGAGAAAGTGTCAGAGACGAGGGGCTGTACAGCTGAAGGCTGCAGACCCCAGACAGGATAAGTGGGCAGGAAGAGCAGTGAGGAGGAAAATCTGAAACTCTTGTAGCCGGTGCAATTCTTGACAGGTTGCCAGTGTGGTTGTTTGTGGTGATGTGTTCTGGAGATGATCTGGGTAGCTGCATTACAGACCAGCTGTAGTTTATAGAGAAGGGGATGACCGAAAAGAAGAGAGTTGATTACACATCATGACCAGCTTCTTTATGTTTCCTCTTTTCTCACAGAGGTGTCAGCTCGTTCTTCGATGATGGAGTCCCAGAATTCAAACCTGAACTGTGCCATATGCCTGGAGCGTTTCGGGATCCCTGTGACCATCCCCTGCGGACACACCTTCTGTCAGAAGTGCATAACCACCCACTGGGACACCAAAAGCAAGGCCAACATCGGACCTAAGTGCCCCATTTGCAACCATGAGTTTGTCACCAGGCCCATCCTCAAGCGTAACGTGTCCCTGTCGGTCCTGACCGAGGCTGCGAACAGTGGCGGCCCGTCCTGCAGGGAGTTACTCATGAGGGGAAACGAAGGGTTCAGAGCCATGCTGCTGTGTGATCGCCATAAAAAGCCTCTGGTTTATTATTGCAGGCAGGATAAAATGTCTGTGTGCTGCGAGTGTGGTATTGCAGAATGTGCGGCTCATGAGAAGGTCTTGTTGGAGGCAGAAAGGGAAAATCAAGAGGTATAGTAACACAATGGCAACACGTTGCTGCGAGTGAAGTAAATATTCAGTCCAGTTGTAAAACTGATGCTAACTATTTAAAGCCCTTTATCTCAGTCTGATGTTTTCTTTACAGCTGCTGCTGGAGAGGAAGAATAAGGAAGTGGGGAAACTCATTGAAGAGACACAGAACCGTATAAAGGACTTGACTGAGAACATCGATCAAGCAAAGGTCAGCTCTACATACAAGCCTGTCTTTATGACCCTGTTCTGACCTGGTAGTAACACCCGTCCTCAGTGAGCCAATCACATGTTGTCAGCGCTAAGTTCAGGTATGAACGCTCCCAAATGCGTCCTGAGATCCGATCACTCAGACTACATTCTTTTAGCTGTGTGAGAGCAAATGCATCCTGAAGGAGCAGCTACAGTTAAAATGTATTTTTCAGTCTTAGATCCAGAGAAATGTATTATTCCCAGAGGGTCAATTCATTACACTGTCTACAACAATTATAAGAATAAATATGTTACTTGCCACAATCAGACATCAACATGCCAGTGACCAGTGCACAAATCAACAAAATCAACAACAACAATCACCAACTTAAAGAATTTAGTAGCCTGATAGCAGAAGGAATGAAGAGTAATGAGAGAGCTGGCAGCCTGAGGGTACGACAGAAAATTCCCTCCAGAGTCCATGATTATGACGGCTTATGATTCCTTTTACTTTCTGGACCACCCAATTCTTCCAGAGGGAGCACAGGTCTTTTTGCTGGACTCCAAGGACCTCGGAGCACCTTAACAATATGTTTGGCACAGTTTTTTTCCCAAGACTTTGTGAGAACCTTTCATGAAACTTCAGTCAGTCCCCCCCTGACTCCACTTACTCTCTTTCTCTCTCACTTGTGCCGACATACACACAAACATTGTCATCAAAGTCGGACACATCTCTGAACTCAAACTAGGTTTAAACAACATCAATTTGGTCTCAGCAAACATTTTAATACCAGGTGTAAAGACACGTAGTTAACACTTACCATGTGATCAAAAGGCTTTACTATGCTTTGAACACACTGGCTTAATCAATGTCTGCAAGGCCAAAGAGAGGGGGAGGTTTACAGAGGAAGAAAAGAAGAGAAAGAAATGCACAGTCATTTTGGTTCTTATTTTTATACCAATAATCTCACAGAAAAATCTGCTTCACCCCTCAGAGTTCAGATGAAGTTGAAAATCCAGGCTCATTTTCAAGCAGTATAAACTCTCAACTATCACTCCCTGCGGCTGCCTCATAGTTTAAATTTAATGGAAATCAGGCCATTGATTAACTCCTTGCATGCACACATCAGTGAATTTGCAACAAATGTTCTCAGCTGACAAAGCTGCAGCTCCAAAACCAGCTCTGATCTATTATTTGTAGTTAGATAAAAGGAAATATTCACCCTCCACATGTTTCCAAATATTTAACAGAGCAGATGTGTGATTCTGTTTTTCGCCTCCAACAGGTGACTCTTCAACAAACTTCGACCTGGGTCAATGTCAAGTTCTCCACCCTGATAAAAATCCTGGCTGAGAAGCAAGAGGCCACAGAGCTTTTCATCGATGAGCAGAGAGAGGCCGCCATCACTGAGGCAGAGGCGCGGTTGGCTGAACTGGAGGAGCATTCCCACAGACTCAAAGAGAGCCAGGACCAGATAGCAGCTGTAAACAACCTCTCTGATACGGAGCTCATCAAGGTTTGTTTCTGCAAAAACTGAGAATTGAATCAGTGTGCAAACTGACTAGACTGCGTGCTGTTGTTTCTTTTATAGCTGCATTCAGACATGCACTGAACTCCAGAGATCCTCCGTAGTTAGTGTATGTGTGAATGCAAATGGCAGAGTGAGAGCCTCCAGAGTTTCTGCAGACTTTCTGCAACTGCCCCCCTTGGTTGATGATGCTTCTAACACGCAACTAACATGAAAAAACAAAAAATGAAAAACAAATATCTCTGGCTGAAAAATCAGAGCCATACAGGTAGATGACACAGACGAAGATGTTAAGAGAGTTTGTGGTGATCCGGGTCGATGCCGTTGTCGACGTGCTTTAAACAAAATCATGTGGTCTCTGCAGCAGAATGAATACGTTATGACCTGCCTCTGCTTGCTGCACCTCCCCTCACCTGAATCTGAGGATTTGTTGTGAAAGTGCCTGAGCAGAGAACCTTGCGCTGCGTTGTGCATGTGTGATTCTGTGTCTTGTTGATGTAGGTAAAACCGATGTGTGGGTAGTGCTGGGGCAAGTAAAGGCCGTATATGACCAAGTTAGAGCAAACAAACAAATAAACTAAGAGAGTTTTATTGTTTTACTGTTGTGCAGACCCTAAATACAATCACATTGCAGCACAGTACAAAGTCTAGACATACTGTATATCCTGACATCTTATCTCCTAGTTTTGCTTTGTGGCTTTTCAGAAAGTAGAAGTCATGGAGCTCCTCTTTGAATTGTTCTCTATATCTCTCCACAGGAATCCATGCTGATAGAAGTCCCACGTTTTAAGGTTATCCCCACAGATGTAACACCCAACCTTCAAGATCGATTGAACGGCGTCACCGACATCCTGTCCCGCGTCTCCAAGCTGGTGTCTGAGGACCTGGAGAAAGCAGTGAGCACCGCAGTGGCTCAGGAGAAAGATGGTAATCTGCCTTTTCATTGAGGGAGGGAGTTAGCTTCATTTACCAGCAGTTTATTCTTCAGTTTTAGCTCTTGTGTTCTCATTCTCATCACTGGTCGCCAGGTTCTCCTCAGGATAAGAGGCCTGTCGGAGCTGTGGTTCCCAGTCCAGCTGCTCCGTGCCACCCTGGTGGGAAGGAAGGCCTCAGCGCTTGTAAGTCTTATCTGATATTTTTTGTTCAAACTGTTGACCCTCTTACAAGTCATTTGCAAAAGTTTGGCAGTGAAACAAGCTTCTGGCTTTGGATTTAGTTACAAGTCGTTAAAAATAAGCAAAGGTCACACTGTGTCCTCATTTTGCTCCTCCTGAGATAAGAGGTTGGATAAGAAGTATCTTTGGATTTTGTTAGATCTCAGTCTGTACTTTTTTGTCATTACAGACCGATGCGCTCTGACCTTTGACCCCCGCACGGCCAACGGGCACCTGTTTCTGTCTCAGGAGAACCGGAGGGCGGAGCACCTGACCTCTGGGCCCCGGCCCGTGCCGGTTCACGAGTCCCGCTTCGATCACACCTGGCAGGTGCTCTGCTTTCAGGGCTTCACCCACGGGCAGCACTACTGGGAACTGGAGGTGTCCAAGCCCTGGGCCTACCTCGGGGTAAAGACATATTCTTTGCCGACTTACTGTATTGTTTGTGAACTGTTTTAGAGCAGATCATTAATACTGGGACTGAAACTTAGGAAATCACTGAACACAGTATCTGAACATCACATTCACTAACTAACATTTGCAGCAGTGGAAACACAACTGAGAGTCTACACATGCTAGCAGCTCTGTGAGGCTTTACTGGGGTGGGGAGGTGTTTTGAGCTCAGTGGTACAATGTTTCCCAATTTACAACTATTGTGTAGGATGTCTGACGCTTTGTTCAGACATTCTTGGTCCCTGGAGAAATAATTCTACCAACTAGAATGACACTCAGTAGAGCACATGTTTCCACCAAGGCCCAACATTCCCCTTTTGAAACTACATTTTTATTATCTAGATCCATCCCCTAAACATGACAATATTCTCTGAGAAATCAAAAGTGTTGAAAAATGCCTCATCTCACAGTTTTAGATCCAGCCCTGATCCTGACCCCACACCCTCCACCAAGTGTAATCCTGTAAACTAACAAATACAGATATAAACTGTATCTCCTTGGCGGAGGTAGCTAGAACCTGACAAGTAAAATTTGGCCGATATGAGCGTTTCACAGACATGTCGTAATCAGCGTTTGTTTGAAGATATGAATACTTTAATTTTTCAGTATAAACAATGAAGAAAATGTGCATTTTGGTTTACATTTTATGTAAAAATAAAATGTTTGTTTTCTTAATTCAAGACATGTTAGAATCGCTGCTAATCTCTGTTTTCTAATAAATATATTGGGCAATAATTATTTTAATCCCCATATCGGGATTAGCATCCAAAAATCCACATTGATTGTCCTCTACTAGTGACGTAAGTGATGAAGTGTTCGGAACTTGGAGCATGTGCCACCCTGCTCACAACTCACCCTCATCCTCCCCCCGTCTCTCATCAGGTGACGTACGAGGCCATCCCCAGGAAGGAGAAAGGCAAGCGGTGCATGGTGGGTATGAACGAACTTTCCTGGAGCCTGCAGCTTGACGAGCATCAGCTCAGCGCCTGGCACAACAGCCGGAAGGAGACCCTGACGGGCCACTCGCAGCACAGACGCATCGGCATGCTGCTGGACTACGAGGCAGGGACGCTCACCTACTACGGTGACGGGCAGACCAGGCTGCACGCCTTCCACTGTGCCTTCACCAAGGAGCTGTTCCCCGCCTGCTGGATAGGAGAGGGGGTCAGCATCACCCTGTGCTCCACATGAGCGTAAATGTACAGAGACGTGAAGACGGGAGCTCAGTGATAAGAAGCACTATCAAACAAAGCCACTAGCTCACTCTACAGAGAGGATCACTGTTAACCATTTAGTTTCTTCACGGTGACTGCCTTCATACATTGTTTTCAGCAGAAGAAGTGACTGTGAGGAGTTTTCTCCCCCCAAACTCTAAAGGCCCACAGGGTTTTAGTCTAACTACAGCACTACTTCATTCTTAGTTTTTTTCTTCATAGCATGTAGGTAATAAGTCCCAGGTTTAGATAGATGTCTACTCTCAGGTAGAGAAGAAGCATCTCCTTCACTCAGTGAGTCAGATCACTGGACATTGAGTTTAATCTAGAACAAAGGACTCTATTACTGGGGTTGGGAAAGACATACACACTGCGCACATACATGAGTCAGCGCAGCAAAGCAAGTATTAGAAAAATAAAAGGCCGTTTTTGTAATGCTATGAGAAGCCATCTGTTCAAACTATCATCCAAGCTGTCTGAAAATCTGAAGGTTTTACTGGTACTTCATTTTATTTTGAAACGTCTTATTTTTAAAGTTCAGGTCAATAATGTTGTGATATTACAAGAATAAACATGTAATTGAGGAGGAAGGCATAATGTTACAAGGATATAGTCATATTATAAAAACAAGGATTTAAAAATCCAAAAATCTTGAGCTTATCTCACAATTTTTCAAAAAAACTACTGACAAACAACTTCCTCCAAGTCTGTGTGGTTCATTCTTTGGAACAGGCAAAATTCCTTGCGCGATCTATTCAAACTCCTGATGAGCGAAAAGATTTTGTTAATTGGGAAATCTATACTAAAGTATGACTTAATGCAGGCTAAAATTACAACTTTATTCTTGTAATATCAGATTGTATTTCCTCTCTACATTGCTGTAATATTTATTGTCGTGCACTCATCGAAAGCAGTCATTCAGATTTTTTTTCTTATCGTTTCATCTCTTGGCAGAATTCAGGCAACGTAAAGATGTGAGCCAGTTTATATTATAATGGAGTCAGTGCGTACAGGACAACAACGCTAGAGATCCTGCTTCATTTAAGTTTCCTATTAAACTACAATCTCCTCTCTGTAGGTGATGTAAGAGAAACCAAAATGCATAGAACTGTACATCTTTACTGTAAATGTTAAGCAGCATTGTGTTGGGATCTGATCATTGATGCACAAAGTAATTGCCCTGCCTGAACTGTGTGAAACCTGTGATGCTGATTTGAGTGGTGATGAAATCTGCTGTTTTAACAGAGTCTTGTTTTTAAAAATGGGGAGCACATAGAAAGCCTAGCTGTGACTTTTGCACTGTAAAGGTACTAGAGGCTCAGGACGTCCTGCACCATACGTTAAGAAACTGCTGTGGATTTGCACAAGTTGCTGAAAGTGCAGACGGGGACTACTGACTCTGAGGAGGAGTAAAAAAATAAAAAAGCACATTTCCGAGCCGATTTGGCCGAATGACATTAAAACATATGTCCTCCTGCTGACTCTGGAACATGTTACATATGCTCGTGCACTAAAGTGGAACACCATCAGCGTGTGATAGCAGTTGTCGGTGTAGAAACAAAGACAAAAGACAGCTGTGTTCCACATGAATCAAGATCCATTTAATAAAATGCAATCCAATGCACACATTCATCAGTTGAGGTCATGCTTTTTCTTATTTAAGCCATTTTACATGAATTATTCAATAAATTAGTTTGAAATAAATACAGAGGTTTATTATTATTTTACACACAGCCATGACAGAGCGAACAGGGGCCCGATGCATAGCATTCTGAAAGTGCAAATAATCAGCCACGGATGTGCCACAGATACAGTTTATAGATTAATGACCACAGAGGGAGGAAGAGTCGACGCTCAGAGATCGGGCTGACCTCAAATGTTTTCGCAACCACAGAAAGAATAAACCTCCTCTGATGGTCCTGTTAGGATGGTGAAAACGCATGTTAGACGAATGAGAGGTGAAGCAGGTTGGCGGTGAGTCTGACAAAACAGGAAGTGATATCACTGGGTGACTGTTCTGCTCTTGCACATTAGAAATAATCCCTCCTGGCGGTTTGTCCCTCCCGGTCCTGGCCGCCCTCGCTCTCTGCTCTAATCCAGGATCAGATCTTCAATGCTCTAATCTGTGTGGCTACTCTCATCCACTAAAACACATCAAAGTGGACCAGGTCGCCTTGCGAGCCGCTGGCTTTACAAACACTAGTTTTTCATCTAGGTTAGTGTTCTTGAGAAAAATATCTCATTTTTAAAAGTCTACATATTAAAAGCCTGTACACACAAATGATAGAAAAATAAAAGACTGCATTCAGCTTGCCTCTGGCTAGGTTAGCAAAGAAACATCATTCGGTTGAGTTTAGTTCAATAAACAGTCAGAGAAGATTCAAAATGAGCTGAATCCAGAGTTTAGAGTGGCGGAATGATTCTTGTGACACTTACAAGGCAATAAATGCTAAAATAGCAGGTCAGGTCACAAAGTGTTTCTCGACTACATTGAAAAAAGTCGCAAAATCCAGACCGTCTTTGGCCTGAACAAACTTCTACTGGTCTCTCTCAGAGTGCTACTAATACTTGTCCCAATCTCCATCAAGTAAAGGTGCTTCTGAGAAGAAAGAAGCTCATGAATAAATCTAAATTATTAAGGAATGTGAAAGGTTTCGGCTCAGGTGAGAAAAGCAATGGAATGAGAAATGGGTAAGACCAAAGACGATGAATTGAAAGGGGAGTAGGAAGACGAGAGAGGATGTTTAAAAATTTTACTTCGGCCTTTTTGATGCCAAGTTAATAGAAGAGGAACCAAGAGAAGGAGAAATGAGAAACAGAACTGAGGGTGGGATCAAGCAGGTCTACTGGTTCTTCTTGTCCTCTGGGGGGGAGTATGGAGGGGGCTTATCCTACGGAGAGAAGACAACAGAAGCTCAGAATAAGCCACTGTGTGCATGTTTAAAGAGCTTTTCACACACACGTCACAACAGACAGCGTGAAAACAAATGGTAGCTTTGTTTTTGCTCTGGAGTTGCTTTGTCCAGGTGATGAAATTTCTATTCTTGGTTTTCATCAAAAAATACCGTAGCGCAAATGCTAAATAACAATAAAAAGATATTGTGTTACTGGTGAAATATGAAGGACCCAATGGGTGGATCCTTATTGGGTCAACCTATCCCAGGATTCATTGGGCGCCAGAGTTGATGCCAACTGGCCTTGAGGCTGCAGCAGCAGATCAAAATCGCTAACAATGCTACGCTAAGGGCAGGAAAGACTGGTGTCACAAATGGAAAATCCTCAGGCATACACATTCTACAATGGCCACGTCTTCATAGACCAAAACTATTAAGGAGGTCACCCCTGAATTGAGCCAAAGCAAATAAAAATGTTGCTGTGTGTGACGATGGGAAATTGTCTTAATGGGGAATAAAGGCACATTTATAGTCCTTCAAATTGCCTTAACTTCAAATTACATGAGTCAAAAACCCACAGCCTCTGGTTAAAAGATGAACAACACTTATTTACTCATGTTTGACCTTTGTTAAAAAGCCAATATGTCTTAGAACTGGTGGATAAATCAGTCAAGAGCGAAGGAGGAAAACTTACATGTGGCAGGTACACATGTGTCGGAGGCAGCGTGGCACTGCTGGCGCTCGCTGCTGCCTCTGCTGCTTTAGCCTCCGCTAGGAAAACACAAGGACAGAGAGAGAGAGAAGGGAGAGGGGTTTTAATTAAACATAATCTTACCTTAATCAAGCCTGAAATGCCATGGGTGGCACAGACAGATGGAATGAGGAGTGAAGACAAAATGAGAGCGAGGGGGGGCATAGCAGTCAACAGAGGAGAGAGAGAGAGAGAAATAAACTGGCGATTTTGTGGATTCTAATGAAACTTACAGTGCGGAGGGAGGAATCATCTTACTACGTTTTTTAAAAATGGAAACTAAAAGAGGTGCATATTTATTAGTTGGGCACAGTGATTCTTTTTAAAACAATGTCACAGTATTGATAAGAATTTGAGAAATAAAATGTTTGACTCAAGGTCCACTTACAAGCTTTTTCTGGGGTTTTCATTTTGCATTTATATTTTATTTAGCACTATAGGTGCTATAGAAACAAAGATGATTTTTATTGTATCATTTCAACAGCTAAAGATATTAAAATATTGCCTAAAAGTAAATCATTGCAAGAAAAATTAAGCCCAGAGTTTAAACTCTTCTAAATTACCTATAGTAACTAATTTTTCATTTTGATTCAGTCTGACCAGTGCAGTGACTCCCTAATAGGCCTGGAGCTGAGTTAAGATCAGTCAGAGCCACTCACCTGCTGCTGAGGAAGGAAGGTCTGGGTCATGAGGCGGCTGCTGGCCCAGATGAGCAGAATATGGGGGTGGAGGTATGTAGGCGGCAGACGCATCAAACGCTGGAGGACTGGGGTAGAATCCACCTGAGCAGCACCGACACAGAAATGAGATTTAGCAGGGGGGCTGTGAATACATGGAGATCTGCATTAATAACAGCTTCTACCTGGAGGAGGAGGGTTGGGGTAGGAGTAACCAGGTGGAGGTGCAGATGGGTACATCCCGTTAGCAGGGGGAGGAGGGCAGGCGTAGGCACCGTTGGCCATGTAGGGACATCCACCGAACTCAGGAGTCACTGGCTGACCTCTGGATGCTGGGACACACGTGACACGAGGAGACGTCAAGTGAAGAAACAACAGAAGAGAATACCACAGAAGTGTATGATGCTGTTCGAGTCGTACCCTGAGCTGCCACCTGCAGCATGTACTGGCCAAACTCTATTGCTCCTCCAGCAGCAAAGACAAACTTGAAAGTAGCACTGCCCTCCCAGCCACCTGTAAGTAAAACAATAATACAATAAGGAATCGATTGTGTGAACTCAACAAACTAACAGTCACAGAACAGGGTATGTTAACGCAGCACTATAACCTAGATTACACAACTCATATACCCACCTCCTGGCTCTGCGCTGACAGTGCCCTTAATGTAATTGGCTCCTAGGACGGGTTGCTTGACCTCGCAGCCCTTCATTAGGTAGAAGGGCATCATAAAAGACTGCAGAGCATCACGACCTTTAGCCACAAAGATCATCTGAGGGGAAACAAGTGGAAAATCATCTCAACGTTCACATGAATTCAAAACGCAGCCTCAACCCTCCCCTACCTCAACCACTGCAGGTTGTTACCAAGGAGAATATGTTGTCTATTTGTTTGTTGCTCTGGCCCCAGGTCTTTCTCACAACAACTCCTTCCATTCCCCCCTTCTCGTCTAAAAACTAAAGAGGACCAAGCTTTCTCTGTTGCTCAGGAATAGTCTCCACTCCCACTATATATTATTTTAAATCTAATCTCTAAGTCTCTCTTTTCATCTCATTAACTTTTATCTTATGTGTGTTCTATTGCATCTTCCAACCACACTGTTTTTACTTTCTATTTATCCATTGTTTTTCCTTTGCCATGTTTGTAAAGGATTTTGTCTCAACTCCTTTTGTTTGTGCTACATTATATATAGCAAAATTGGATTTGACTGAACTTGATTAAACACAGAATAAGACATCTGGCTCTTGTCTCTCACCCTGTATGGAGTTAGGAAGATGCTGCCCTTCTTGCTCTTCCTGAAGGCTTCTGGCAGCCTGTCCGCGTCACAGAAAACCAGCTCCACATTGTCGTAGTTCATCAACACGCTGAGGACGGAAATGTACACAAGAACAAAAGACACTTAGATTTTTTTCCCAAGAGGTACAATAAATTATGATATTTCTATTACATTGCATTTGCAGTGAATAAAAAAGATTGGGGTTTATGTTTGATTTCTAATTCTACGCTAATGAGATCAATTGTGAAACTGTCCTGTCACTAAACCTGGCCTATCACTTACTGCCAGTAAACAGTATAAGGATTAGGTTTACATGCTATCCAGTGACAGAGCTACCTACTGGTTCTGGGTCAGCTGTAACAGGTTTATTTTGCCCTCGAGTATGTTCTGGAAGAACCTGACACTTTAATGTATCGTGTAAACTGCAGTGACCCAGTCAATTCCCGACAGTTTGTTGTGGTGATTTTGTTGGTACTGCAAAAGCATGAACTGCTAGTGCTAGCATCCACTGTTATTTATGATTATTGATATTACGTCCTGACTCTCAGACGTTTGCACTTAGCTCTGCAAGCACTCAACTCTGTCTTCTCCTCTGCTCATTTTGTTTTGTTTTATGTCATCACCGTCTGACATCAGAGTTGTTTACATGTGCCTGAATTGTTCTCACATACTTTGTTCATAATGGTCGTGTGGTTTTTTGAATGGGCATCTGATGCGTTTAGGTTTCATTTGTACCTGCATCACAAGACACTCTCATCGAAAAAAAAGCTTATTTATCCGTCCTTCTTTAATGTTGCATTTGATATGGTGTTGGTGCTTTATTATAATTTTTGTTGGAGGCATTTATTGCACTTGTGTCTGTCCTGGGAGCAAGATCCCTCACATGAGAGTCTCTGAGGTGTCTGTGTTTTGATCCCTGGTTTCTCAGGTTAAGGGAAGAGGATGTTGAGGCAAAACGTGATTTGAGAATATGGGTTGTACAAATAACATTTTATTAGATATAAATATTAAACTTTACTTTGTTTATAACAGTTTCAGCACATTTTAATACCAGATCATTTTTTGAATGATCACAATTGTCGTGAAACAAAATCGTTTCATCTCTAATGTAAATGAACACAACAGAAGAGCCCGAGGTGAGACATTAAACATCGCAGCAATAAACACTGAGACATTCTTATGATCGAGTAACAGAAATCCACTTGGAAGTTTAAATCAGACATTTATGCAATGGTGGGAAACCTGATGATATAACAAGTTGAAGGCCATGTTTGAGTCCCACACCCGGTTCCGACTGGAGAAACGGTGTCACATGTAGCCCCACTTTAGATTTAATATCCTCTCCTACGATATTGCCCTCGTTGATTCGACTTGTACGTGACAAGCAATAAAAGCACCAGCCTCGAATGGACTGTGGTGTCTTTAGCTAACTGCCATCGCGCTGTGTGTGACGGTAAACGCTGCTGTAAATATCTATCGATGAGTGACATGTGGACTGTCTTCACTGTGTTGTGACGTCCTCGGTGTAAGAACCTGTCGGGCTGTGGTTAAACGTTAGCCGCTAGCTAGCCCCCTCGCAGCCGCAGCTAACGTTACCTCTCACTGTTGTTGATGATGACTCCGCCGGACTCCGACTGGTTCTGGTTCAGACTCATGGCGACGGCCCTCCCTCCGCGCTCTCCGCAGACGGGAAAGAGAAATGCAAGCGACGGGGGTCGAGTTCCCTGTGTGGTGAACCGTGTGTGCAGGCCTGCGTGCTGCTGCCTCCTCCGGGGCCTGTGGATTTCAACATTCGCTTCGTTACCTCACTGAGGGACACGCCCTCCGCGCAGTCCCCCCCCAGAAGCAATCTTGCAATACGCCAGTCCTGATTGGCCGGCAGACCTGTCTGTCACTAGAGGAGGGACTTCCTCCTACTATAATAGACCAGATATCACGTCATCGTCTCAGTGTCGAACCTCTTGGATGTTACCTCTAGGTTGACAGGTGTAGCTAACAGGCTAGCACACGGTTCACAGAGCGAGCTAACCAGTCGATCGAGCAGCGCTACCTGAACGCTGCATAGCTTCCCGAGTTTATCAGCTAGCCACCATATTAGCTACTTCCCGCCTCCAACTTTAACGGAAGAGATGGCAACCACGGACCCTGCTCATTCCCTCACCACGGACAAGAGCAAGCTACTTCCGAGGCTGTGCAAATGCACGAGAATCGCTAGCATCCCATGGCGCCTGTGATCACCGTGCACGCCTTTCCACGCTAGCTTGTCAGCGGCGGATCCCATGATGGGGGCTGCCCCTCGTCCCCAGGGAAACACCGGCTAGCGGTAGCCACCGTGCAGAAACGCCCACCCTGGGAGCTAAGCGAAAGAGGCGCTTCTTCCGGTGAGGGAGGACGGTTTCAGCCAGACAACTGTTTCCCTCGCCGCGGAACATGTTCTGTTCCATGGAACACGTTCCAGACCCCGCAACAGGAAGATCCGCGCCGCAGAGAGCTCTGCGGAGCCGCAGCCGAGTGTTCCCCAAAGCACACAAACCTGTTCCCAAACACACACCAGACCCCTTCCCCCTCTGTGAAATGTTCAATTCAAAATCACATGCGGTGCTCATCCAACTTGTTCATGAAGAACATGCTAAACAACAAACATTAAAGATGATGACGGAGGAACAGCATGGGGCATCTGAGTGGGTGATTAAAACTGTGACCAGGGGCTACAGGCCGTGGCAATGTATATAGACGATTGGTTGATAGTGGCACAGTCGCTATAAATGTATTATAATGTGCTGATGTGACATGCAGCTGCATAATGAGAGAAGTCCCCGTGTCAGTATTTCTAAATGCCTGTCTGGTGTTTTTAGGTTTCTGTTAGATATGTTCACCATCGTAATTCCTATGATCACTATCTTCGCCTGCAACCATAGACTGTATATAAAGAGCCTGCAACACACACAAGTTCTTTGGCTGTTTCAAAAACTTCAGCCCACACAACTATAAGGGGAATTTTTTGCTTGCGAGTGCATATGTCAAACACATCTTCACCATCCCTCAGACCGAGAATATCTAGGTTTTGATTTTGGAACATTTTGGTTTTGCTGAAAAATAAGTCAATATTATTCAAATGAATAAAAAGAATTTAAACTCTCACTCCACCAGAATCAAGGTACATGGTCGTCTTGCTGATCATTATCAACTGAAAACATCCACAGGTCAAAGGGGGCAGCCCTTTCATGCAGAATACACAGAACCCTTGGAGCAAGCAGTATGCAGGAAAGATAGAAGAGCATTGTACACCAATAATATTTTGGTATATGTTGCTAACCCTTTTAGATGTTCTTGACATATATGGCACATATTCAGGTTTAAACAAACCCAATATACAAAAACACAAATGTTATTGTTTAATACAGCCAATCATCTGAGCTTAAGCAAAAAGCTATCAAATACAAAGTGACATGTCAAGGAAAAATGATGAAATCATTACCAAGAAAATTAAAAGAAACGACTTGTGGTGGTGTGTGGTCAACGTCTCATTTTGACTTTTTAGATGTCTACCTTACTAAGACTGTCTGTCCCTACCAGGTATGGCCCCTGCCTATCAATACCAGGAATGGAACAAGCAAATCTTTAGTTTCACAGTGGAAGCCGCTTATAATGATCACACTGATCACTATAAGTGGTTGATCACTATAAATGAATTTTGTAGCCTCTGTATGATAGTCCCAGAAGTTGAGGGAAAGCACACACACTTCTGTCTAGAGAAGGAACTTCCCCTTACTTTAAAAACCCAACATTACTTCATCACCTCAGTCTAATAAGTAAGCACACATCTTCCTCACTCCAGGCAAGGAGGGTGATCTGGTTCGTTCCTCAATCATGTTTCAGAGAACCGGGGTTAATTCCTAAACCTTCAGTTCTCTTTCACCATAAGTTTCTGTATCTCACTGTAGGATATAGAGTCTCCCGTTTTGCCATATAAGCTTACCGCGAATACCAATAACCAACAGTCAGACAGATACATTTGTGACTGAACCCACACTCAGGACTGTATGAGACCATGTAGGTATCAGTAACATCCAGATTATAAAATCTGATGAAGGTATGGGGCGTTGCCCAGCTGGCAGCCGCAAGTATCTCTTCAACAGACATGCCACTGAACAGTGCCCATGAGGCAGCCATACCCTGAGTGGAATGATTATAGGCTGTGGCAATAGCCTCAATGATCCAGCATGACAAACACTGCCTAATAAGAGGTTTGCCCAGGTGTGGTGTAGTCCGCACCACAAATAGTTGTTAAGTTAAAGAACTGAAAAGCCATCAGTCAATGACAACATATCTAAATTATAACATGCATTGCACTGGGCAGAGGTTGAATACAGTACAACATAGTTTATCATGCATTTAGGCCCTCACACATCTGTGCATAACACAGTATGTGTGGCCTTCTGCACACATGCATTGTGGGAATTTACTGTAATTAAAATTAAAGTTAAAAAGGGAATTGAATGAGTAATTTCAGTATTTTGTTGTTGATAAAAATAGCAAAATATTCTTGCTTCTCCATTGAACATTAGCAAAAATGATTTTTCTTTCCTGGTTTGAATCTCTACAGTTGTTAAAATTGATTATCTATCGGTTAATGGATACTGGTGAAAAGAATCATTATTTGCAGCCTTACTCAGAATACATTTCAGGAAAAAGTGTTTTAATCATTTTATACCTTTCACATAAAGATAAAAAGCTACAAATATTAACTTTCAATTCACAGTATTGTTTAAGTTCTATAATATCTATAAGGACAGATAGATAGATAGACAGACAGACAGACAGACAGACAGATAGACA